GCGACATCTTGAATTTGAAACCGAAATTTAATTGAGGGGGCGTTACTTTACATGCAAGCCCTCTGGAACAGTTTTCCAAATAGTTTCAAAAAAATGGGTCCCGTTATTGATTTTAATTTTGTCGAATAGTAGTGAAAGACCGTATTAAACACTTGGCAGTTTTCATTTCGCTTTTTCTTCTTCTTCCTCTTAGGGCGCAGCAGTCTATAAGGAACTTGGACCTCCTTTCATGATTTTTCTTCCATTGTTTCTCTTTTCCTGTGAGTTATCCTCAATTTTTGTCACTCCTATGCGTTTCAGTCTTCCTGAACATCATGCAGCCATCTTTCCGGGTGGCCTTCCGGATTTGCGATGGGCGCAATTCAGTCGCGTAAAAGACATCGAGGCTGTTATCCGTGGTGACGCCGCGTCGTATGGCGAGAGTCGACTTTTCTGTCATATCCAGGCTTTTTCAGCGGTAGTGAGAGCTCACGTAAGTCTATTTTTTACACAGAGTTGATTTCAACAAGTGCAATTGGCAGACCATCGATAGTCTAACCAGTTGATTCTTTTAATTACTTATTGTGCAATTGTATAACTAATATCTCTCTGTTTGGGTCGGATTCTCCATTTCACGCTATAAACCTAATATTTCGAAAATGTAGAACGTATTCCGACACCCAAAATATTAAAGATGGAGTTTTTCTCCCTTAAAATCTGTTGTCCTAATAAGATGGATGTTTAAATGTACAATTTTCGAAAATATGAGTACTTTCGTGGAATTTAGGTGAAACTTCACGGGGCGACAATAATACGCTGCTGTGATTTAACACCACTGGTTTAATTTTTTTAGAGTTAGAAGCATTTTGTATGGAATCACGAAACTTTAATTATACACAGTCGTTCAGATTGAGTTGAGTTGGTTGAACCAACTGCTGGAGCTTCCCCGGCGCAGCCGCGCCGCCGGGCCACGAAGCGCCCGCCAGCCACGATCCCCGGCTGGACAGCCCATTTACGACCGCCATACCGCCACGAGTAATTGGCGGCCCACCCCCATCGCCGTTCCCACATGGGAAGACGGACCATAAACGGCTAGAGCAGGCAGGGCAGGCAGGCTTCCAGCTGATGGAATCTTCATCGCTCGTTGCTGTACGGTAGGGTATATAAGTGAAGTGCTCGTTTAGGGCGAATTGGCTGCATCCTGCACCCCAGTCGGGCGCATGCGCCCGGCGCCGTCTGCCTGCATTGCACTCCGGCCAATTCCGCTGACGACCCGCCCCCGCCCGCCCGCACGCCCGCCCGCCCGCCCGCC